ATTTCGTGACGGCACATCTAGTGTATTTCAATAGTATCTTCTGTGTATTTAGCCTTCTTTTCTGCTTAGATTCTAACACCTCTGATGCATAATCTTCTGCAAACCAGCTCGTTCTGTTTGGAAAGCAATGTAATATTTGAAGCATTAATGTGTGTGTTTGCCCATGCATGTTGATATATGCCCAGCAAATGTATCCCAACACATGTAAAATCCTTGCATTGCTCTGATGTGTGACATCATTAAGTATTTCCTCGATAGCATCTCAGGGCTTCAGAAACATTAAAAATTAATTCAGTTTGAAGAACCGGTTTCACAAATACATTATTCATGAATATTAAAATGGCTTGTTTCTGTGAACGTTCTCTTGTTTTCTCACTTCCCAGGTATACAATATTTTCTTTTTTTTGTCTCGTGCATTAATATCAAGCCTTTTACACTCAGCTGATGATGCAAGTGATCGAAAATGTTTAACTGTTAAGATGGAATTGTTGGCCATTCTTTTATTTTTCAACCAGTGCAGTGTATTTTTTAATCAACTTGTCAATCTAACAATTATTCCTGAATATAAGGGGTCATGACGTCAAACTAAGGCTCTAAAGTTAATTATTCAAAGATTCTATTGATTCATTTTACAGTCTATTGTCATATGGCCCTTGAGGGAAGTCCTTGGATGGTAAGATAGGCAGTGCTTTGCTGGATGAGGAGAACACAGTGTTTAAAAACATCGTTTGATACTCTTTTGCTTCTTAATCATTAAAAAATAAATATGTAGTTTAATTAATTTGCATTTTTCTTTTGTTGTCCATCTGAGAACAAATGAAATATGTTCAATTTGATAGTCTCATGTATCCGATAGCAATAAGACAATTAAACAATGAATTTATTTATTTTTAAAATGGGGCTGTGGGGTAAGTGGTTAAAACATTGGGCGTAAAACCAACCTCACTCACTTACTCACTCAAAACAATGCTTAGAGAACAACTTAAAAGTGGAGAAAATTTTAACTAATTTAGTAACTAACTAATTTCTTTTAAATTCTGATAATTTCATGTTATTCTGATAATTAACTTTAATGTTCGTTCATTTGGGCACTATAACAAAGACATTTGTCAGAGCACGAATATAAAATGTTAACGCCAGAGAATAATCTGCCCAAAAAGATTCCATTGGGCATAAAAAGGCAAAAAATATTATGAATGGATCACTGAAAATCAGTGATAACACCAGGTGTTCGTGAAAGCACTTGTCAGAGATAAGAGGTGGAGACACTTGTCAGAGGAGGAATCTTGGTTCGATGACAATGATATCAATGAAGGTGCGTTAAAATAGTCTTTGCAGGATCATTGGTGGAACAGCCATCATGAACAAGCACAAGGAACTGGAACTAGAATTCAGAAATTGCCCCGTCACATTATCATCATGAACTGAAACTGATTATTTTTGCTGAAACTCACCTGTGAAAAAAGAACGCCTAATAAATAAGTAAAGGTTTTTTTTTTAATTTCACGACATAAATGTTTGTCATCAAACTTTATGGATTCTGTGATGACTGTTAACATTTGTTCCAAAGCTCAGTGTCCTTCTATTGCTTCCTCTTGGAAGTTGTAATTCATTATTAACAAATATCTATACATCTATTCCACAATGTCAAGGTCAAAAGACAGCCTGACACGAGTTGCAGACTCTTTACGGAAACTTGCGAACATGAAATTTGGAATAAGTGTTCAGAATGTGACATCATGTTGAGTTGGCACAAGGTCATTGATATTTTCAGTGGAAGCTCCCACCCTGTTCTATCAATAGACAGGATTGCCCCGAACATTCGGGTCTTGGCACCCAACCAGATATATATGCGTGGTTCTCAAGATAGGAGCACTTGAGGCAGAGTTTTACATTTTGGCAGCTTTAGATATTTTGTGTCTTAAAAATGTTACCTCCTAAATTTGTACATATTTGCTACCAGCTTTCTCCCATTCTGGAGAGTTTATGAAGTTGTTTGTTTGAACCATGGTAATCTTGGGCTGGTGGTCATTCCGGAACCTCCTTGGCTTGATGGTCAAGTGCCCGGTTCCTGTTTATGCCAGATAACTGATACGGCTACTGCTTCCCTGAACACTGTCCTTTGGTGGTGTACTGTACGGTCTCTCTTAATAAATCCACCTATGAAGATTCCGGGGTAGAAAAGGTCTTCAGCAACCCATGCTTGCCATAAAAGGTGACTATGCTTGTCATAAGAGGCAACAAACGGGATCGGGTGGTCAGGCTCGCTGACTTGGTTGATGCATGTCATCGTATCCCAATTGCATTGATCGATGCTCATGATGTCAATCACTGGATTGTCTGATCCAGATAGCTGGAATATTGCTGAGTGCGGCATTAAACAACAGACAAATCATTAGTAGACCAAATATTTCTAGCTAGAACTTTCAATACCTTTTAATCTAGTTTTATTATGCTTATTTGCCAGGCTAATAAAGTTATACAAAGCATACCCTATTGAAAACAATGACAACCTATTTTACCAGAGCCTTGATATTCCATTTTATAATAGTGAGTGAATGTTCTTTTATGCCTCAGCATTATTCCAGCTAAATGAGAACATCCTCCCCAGGCAAACCAGTGATTGATAGCTACAGCAACTATCCCTGCTGTTGGGTTATGAGTGAGTGAGTTGGGTTTTACGCCGCTTTTAACAGTATTTCAGTTATATCACGGCATGTCAGCTCAATGTGGGAGGATTTAAGCCCGAAGTGATGCAGGTCTCAGATGTTTACCACTTCGGTGAAACCCACGAGCACGGGTATGGTGCTGACAAACCTAGAAACATAATCGAGGCGAACCGGGATTCGAACCCACAATCAGAGGTTTCTGGCATGCCCAAGGGACGCAACTCTGCACTGCGAATCGCGGCGCCTTAGACGACTGGGCCACCCGTGCCCCCTGTTGGGTTATGACACTCAATCAGCTATCTCAATTATTGTAATCATCCGATCCTCTTTAACTGTCTCTAACAACAGCCGTGGGGATCTGTTTTGCTCTAAGATTATTATTTTTTTAAACCATGCTTGTAATTTAACCTCGAAAAACATTAACATTTCATGCCTTACTGGCATCGGATTTCAATGATGTCGGTCGATAAAAATTTGGCAGATGAAACAAATTGGGAATAAATAAACTTCAAGTGTTGCATTGTCGCATTAAAGATGATAGAAAAAAATTGTACGTTTAAGGGAGTTTAGTTCGTCTTCAGGGCTGTGGTTATTCAATTCATTCTGTCAATTTGAACATTTCTTTTACCATTACAAAGCTTTATCTCATCTGGCAATATATTTTTTCATCCAAAAGATGGAGTGAAAATAAACGTTATTGAAATAGCGCATTCACCATCATTTGACTCGACCTTCTTTCATTCTTGAGGTGGGTGCGGAGCTCAGCAATGTTCATCCTTTTACCTTGATCTTTAACCTAAAGGTCATTCCGCCATCTCCTTATCTGTTCGTAATTATCTGTGAAAGTAAAAAATAGAATTGCTTAAAATAGAAAATTTGCTGCCAGTTGGTTCCAGACCTTGAGAAAACAAAGAAGAGGCCGGACCCTCCATCAAAAATTACCCGAACACAATGATCCTATTCAATGGCCCCAGCAATCAAAGGCAATCAAAATGTTATTTTTATTGTGTCAACCTTGGTAGTATCATAAGCTGCTGCGGAGTTTGCTTGAGATGATGCCAGGAGCTGACGGCACCCTTGTGGATTAATGCCTCCCTGTAGAAGCTCCAGAATGTGAAATGACGTTTGATTGTTTGATTGTTTGATGACGACGACAGCCACTATGAACAATCGGCAATTGTTGATTACTGGAGTTGAGGCTGCCTTGGCATTGAATCTGGTGGTGACTGGGTTGATATTCTGCAGATATTATGTGTATCAAAAATGGTTTAGTGAGGTCTCCCTACATATCAGGATAGACAATTTCAGAAATCTGTGAATGTAGGATAAACATTTTTTATAGCCATTTCTAAGAAGATGAAGGATGACAAAGTTGACACGATTTCTGGAAAATAATTTCCTAAATGTACTTTCATGACAATGTTTTGGTATTTTGTTGTCAAACAAGATTGAATAGTGTGAGTGAGTGAGTATGGTTTTACGCTGCTTTTAGCAATATTCCAGCAATACCATGGCAGGGGACACCTGACAAATAATCTGAGAATGGTACAGAATTATACATGGTTGGTGAGCGATTAACAGTGACAACAGTTTACGTTAATGAGTGAGAAAAGGGTACAGAATAACAACAGAAGGATAAATTGTAATAATATGAATGTAGGATCAATGGGGTAAGAATAATTTTCAAACAAATATTGTGTGGCAAAATGCATGAGCAGATTGAGACATTGACTTGACGTTGTGATAAAACTGAAATATTATTCATGACCATTTTGTAGACCTTGAAATGTGCTGATCATTGAAAGGAGTTGGGATAAGGACTGATACAGATAATTCATAGTTGGTGTTGGGGTGGTGCATCCTGGAATTATTTCAGCCTGGCAAGTTATGAGACGACATTGTTATCATCATTTTCAAATATGGAAAAATGAAAGCAGTATTGGGTTTTCTTTGTTGCAATTTGAAAATGCTTTTGGTTATGTGTGCATTCTGGTATAGATCCTTTTTTTTGTAAAAGCTGATTATTATTGTGTTCATTTATCATAATACAGAATCTCAACATTATGTAAAGAATAATTTTTTGGATACAGGGAAGTGTTGGCAGCTAAAACTCTCTCTCTCTCTCTCTCTCTCTCTCTCTCTCTCTCTGAAAATCAGGAGAGTCTGTGGCCTCTTTTTTCTTTTTTTTTATCAAGATCATTTGATAACTGTTTTTTCTGTATAATATTTTCATTTAAGAGACTAGCTGTTAGTCTAGGTTTCAGTGTATTTGGTTTTTTAGACATGCTCTTTAGATTTTGCATAATACTGATCATTATTGTTGTTTTTCAGAAAAAGATAGTGATTCTGCTGTAAGTCGGAGCGCATCAAGTAGTCGGCCGTCAAGTGCGTCCAAGTCCACCTCAACGAAAGGAACAAAGTCAGCCGGGGTAAGTTCTTGCGGGGACGCAGTTGACTGTCTGTGGGATGAAGTGCAGTGAGATCAGCTTAACACTGAAGTTAAACTAAACATGTCAGTCAAAGAGTGAAACCACTGCAGCTCGAGGAATTCAGAGCCCTTTTCACCAAAGATAACTGTGTGATGAGTGAAAGTATATAGACTGAACAAATTAGGGGATTCTTAATACTTTTGCTTGAAAAAATAATACTTGTTTAGTTCACAAGAACATGATATTAGAAGGTTTTGTTACAATGAACATAAGAATGATTTTGGTTGATTTTTTATTTATGAAAAAACTGTTATTTTCCTGTTTCTAGGAAGAAATTGTTAATATCTTAGTGAAAGAGGACTTAACTTGAGAAATATTAAATTTGATCCATATGTTTATGCTAGAATGCTTTTGGCTTTTGTTTTGAGAAAAGAACTTTTGTTCTGTCAAAAATGTTTATATATTCCTTCTAGAACATTTTGTGGTTTTAAAATCACGGTATTTCCAGTTAAAGAAATCTTTCTGTTATTTTTTTACAAATAACAAGATTATAAAATTCAGGTGCCATTTCTGTTTAATATATTTTAATATATGTTAAAAATATTTTATGTCTCCGAGCTCATCCTCAGTGTGAATAATATACCCCATCACAATAAAGATAATTGTTTTGTGTGCTTTATGTTTGATTGTTATATTAAATGCTTCTTAACATGCCAATAACATGACATTTGTTTGTGAAATGTTCAATGCCAATTGTACTACAGCATTGTGTTTTATAATACTTACCTTTACTAACATGTAACATATTAACCCAATATTTAACCTACTAACCTGCAGTCTCTTGAGGCTGGAGTACTGGATGCTTAGAATGAAGGCGGTATAGGAGTATTGAAAACCTGGAATTAAATATGGAATGTTAGATAGATGGTGTTTGCAAGTATGGTTATGGGTTTCATCAAGTTTGACAGTTTTGACATTTTTATTTTTTTATTTTTTTTATTTTTTAATTTTAAAAAATATTGTAATATTTTAAGAAATAAAAAAGAACATTTATGTCAACTGAAATATTTGACGAGTGGAGATGTAAAAATAGGGAAAAATATTCACTCGTGGTATTAACTGCTTTTGGTATGAAACAAGCATTTTAAAAAGGGTGCATATCAAATACAAAGAATAGCACATAGTTCAGGAAACAATTTGTTTCCTAGCCAAAACCTAACTAATTAATGGTTATTTTGTGGAAAATATGTAACCAAGAAATTTAGAAAAAGTCAAATATAAATAATTTATTCCAAGGAAACCGAAACTTAATTTTCATCAAGATTTGTTTGATTTTACATTATTTGCTGTAATGATGAATTAATGTCGGGAAAACAATAAAGGTTATTGATTGAATGATGGAGTATGATATTATATGATGAAGCAAGGCCTGCTCATACACTGGTTGGATATACAACAGTCCGAGGTTAAGGACATGGAAATTATTCCCCAAATCCTTCAGCTTGACATTGCAATGCTGGGACACTTTCACAGCACCCTCACGGCATTATTCAGAGTCCCTGTTTGGGAGCCACATATTTCACAATCTCACGCAATCTCCTAGTCTCCCATCCCCCCATACTCCACCCTCCCCTTTGCTGTGCAGTAGAATGATTTTGATTGGTTGATCAGCCAGTCCGCGTTGCAATATAATATTTGTATCACTATAGATAGAGACTACAAATGGTAATGGATCCAGACCTTCTGATGCTGCTTAATAATTTTGAATGAAAATTTAAATTTATTTTAATGAACACTGTTATCATTGTCAGTTCAAAAGCCGTTTTTTTTGGTTTTTTTAATATTTTTTATGGATGACCTGCCCCTGGTGGTACAAATAAAATAAAATAATGTGTTTGATGGTAAATATGCTTAAAATGAAATTTTGCAAGAGTAATTAACTTCAAATCAACCCTGGCAACAGTTTATCTGATAAATTAACTTCTTTGGCTCTCTTCATATTGACGTAGAACATTTGTATACAATTTTTAAAAATTAATTGAACTAATAAGAAAACTCATCTCTCTGCATTCTTCCCAAGGCAACACCATGGAAACCTGACTTATTGGTAATAACCACTAATATCCAAGGAAATCTAACAAGTTATTTCAGTAAATAACAGTAATAACAGTAAATTTCATGTTTATTAGCGGCGGTGGGGTAGCCTAGTGGTTAAAGCGTTCCCTCATCACGCCAAAGACCCCGGTTTTATTCCCCACATGGGTACAATGTGAATCCCATTTTTGGTGTTCCCTGCCGTGATATTGCTGGAAAATTTACTGCAGGAAGCGGCATAAAACCATACTCACTCACTCACTAAAGTGGGTCCTGATCAGACCCGCATGCAGATTGAATAATGATTATGTTGATTGAATCCACACGCCCGAAGCAGCTGGCTGTGTAACGCGGTACAAGGTTTGTTCTGTAACCTATAACATATCCCGTTTCTCCCATATTTACGAACAACAATTACTAAACAGCTCCTTCCCTTTAACTTGGAAACCATACTAAACCCTGACACTAGTCCTCCGTAGTGTACTGACACAAGCGAACAACAGTACCTTGGCGATGTTCTACGACCCTGAACACCATTTGTCATTTACGTAGAAGAACGCACGACGAGAATCGGTCACGCAAGTCCCCGTTCTACTCGAGCCCCCGCCTGTAAAACAACGACGGGGCTCGCTACAGTTCTTCAGTATATCAAAGAATGAAAACTCATCGGGCAAATCTGGGGATGGTTTGAAAGTCTATGATGACTCCTTTGTAAGTCTGCATGAACTTACATATGTATATATATATATATTCCTTGTCATCTCTCGTCTCTTGTAGTATCCCACAATCCCTTGCATGGAAGGTGTATATGGCTTGTTTACCATAGTAATCTGTGTGTTGTCTTCAAAGCTACGGCAGTACCTGTTCTGAATGGCTGACAGTTTGTCTGTAATAGTCACTTTAATTTTTTTTATTCGTTTAGAGAAAAGATTTTCAAAATATGTCAATAAAACATATAATAAAATATTTCCTGCGTTTGGTATAGTTCATGATTTGGGGTATATTTTTTATGGGTGAAAAATATTAGAATTTTTGGCAACATGTCTATATGAAATTCTAATAAGTTTAACTTAAGTAAAAAGAAATTAAATATTGTCTTGAATGTAAATATCCATAGTTTTCTAGTATGGCTTGTAATTTAGAAGTGAACTATGTACTTTCCAGTCTAGGAATTGGCAGTTCTGTATAAAATCCTTCGATATAATAAAAGCAGAATGGGTTTTTGAACTGCACTAACTTTTCGCATCAATAAAAATCTCTCTATATTTTTTATAGTATTGCTCAAAATATAGACTCTTTCCTTTAGTTATAGCTCTGTAGGTGTGTACTGTGTTGAACTCTGCCATTACCTGTGTCCTGTGTCGAACACATTGTCCATCTGTGTCCTGTGTCGGACACATTGTCCTCCTGTGTTTTCCAGGACTGTCAGTGATCCCTTGTCTAGTGCTGTGGTGGTGATTTTATGTGTACTTCAATCAATGTCTCTGTTGTGGACTGTCTTTCTCAGTTGAACATTGTACACAGATGGCATACAGATGTATGTCAGCTGTGTGTACTTAGATAATAATCAATATTTGAGTTGTTGATGAAATCTGCACAGGTAGCCCTTTCTTCATGCACTGCACGTCACTCTATTAGATGCCAGGAGTCGATATAGCTCACAGTAGTATCACACCATCAGTGTGTCTGCAAATGTACACAATGCTAACTTTGGTAAAGAGTATATTGACAAGAAAGTTGTTGAAAGCCAAAACAGTGAAACTTCAAAGCTTATCAGACATTTAGGATGTGATAACTTGCTGCCATAACAGGCAAATTTGGAAATAAGCATTTTTGTCCAAAATCTTGAAATTTTGAAACTCAGTGATATTTTAACACTGCATTTAACTATTGTAAAAACTATGTAAATATTTTGCCCTTTAAGGCCCTGTTTTCAGAAACATATTCTATATAGCTAAGTTTGTTGTAATTGGAATACAGTTTTGATTCAAATTTGGGACTTTTAGACATTAGCTTTAGAGACATCCGGGGTAGAATTGGTCTTCAGCAACCCAAGCTTGCCATAAAAGGTGACTGTGCTAGTCATAAGAGGCGACTAACAGGATCGAGTGGTCAGGCTCGCTGACTTGGTTGATGCATGTCATCGTATCCCAATTGTGTGGATCAATGCTCATGATGTCAATCACTTGATTGTCTGGTCCGGACTCGATTATTTACAGACTGCTGTCATATAGCTGGAATATTGCTGAGTGCGGCGTTAAACAACAACCAAACAGATATGAAACAGATCACAAGTCTCTAATATTGGACCACAGTTCTAAATAAGGATTCTGCACACTTCTCACACTTTATATTGAGCTATGTATTTGAGGTTTCACTGAAGAAGGTTTCAAGAGCATCAACAAAGACACTTTATTTTTTATATTGTTTATTCATGACAAAGAGTAGCATGCTTTTCGCCTGCACTAGATTTTGAAAATCCATAGCCTGCGAACCATATCTTTTCAGTATTCGTCCTATTTATGGATGTCGACATTTTTTTCAAAATCCAGATTGTGTTATTGGGAAAATACATTGTATTACTTTATTGATTTCCAGCGTATACAATTTGCAGAACACACAGATGGTGGTGCAGAGATATAGATGCACTTTAATGTGTACTTGTGTGCACATCACGAGATGAATATATATTGTGAAGTGTCATATACTTGTATAAAACACAAAGTGATTTTTCTGTAGAAAATCATGTTAAATACGCCCTAACTGCCCATTAAGAGTGTTAAACTTTAGTTTCACATTGATATTGCTTTACTCATGTAAAGACTTGATAAAGACAACCATAATATTCAACCACAGAATTGATGTCATGGTGATGCTCATGATAATGGGATTCCGGGGTAGAACAGGTCTTCAGCAACTCATGCTTGCCGTAAAAGGCGACTAACGGGATCGGGTGGTCAGCTCAATGACTTTGTTGATGCATGTCATCGCTCCCAATTGTGTGGACCGATGTTCATGATATTAATCATTGGATTGTCTGGTCCAGACTCGATTATTTACAGACCGCCGTCATACAGCTGGAATATTGCTGAGTGTGACGTTAAACAACAAACCAACCAACCAATCATGTTAATTGCCAGTCCATAATATCAGAAATATAGAAAAATGGCTGACCATTCAATGTTCAAAGAGTCCTCTTTTACTACTGAACACATGAAGATCTCTGTGACACTTGAAAGTCGAGATTCGAGACTTCCTCATAGGTCGTAGAATATTCCCCCTTTGGAGATCCGGGTTAGAATTGGTCTTCAGCAACCCATGCTTGTCATCAGGCCACTAACAGGGTTGGATTATTCACTGACTTGGTTGATATATGTCACCGTATCCATGAAAATAGCAAACAAACAAACATACTACCATGTTTGCTATGAAGTGGCTAGAATGGTGATTGTGTTGCCACAATGGCTGTAGATTAAGTTTAGGTTGTTTGTTTAAAAGTTTACTCACCACTGTTGTATGATGGCAGTCTGGAGGCAATTGAGGCTGGGCCAGACAATCCAGTGATTGATATCTTGAATTTTGATCTACACAAGTGGGATATGATGACATGCTTAAACCAAGTCACAAACCATCCAACCTCTTACGTTTCTGAAGACAATTAATTCTAACCCGGATCTTCTTTGTTGAACCTTCAAGGGTTATACCATCAACTGTGTGGCTGACCGTGTCGTCATTCTCTCGACCACCAGTTTGGTTGAGCCAGACTCGAACCTGTTACAGGTTGAAATAATATTATTGAATATACTACTCACCCATTGTTCCATAGTGATGTTGCTTAATGAGATCTATGTAGAAACAAGTATTTAATGTTGTTTTTGTTTTGATTATATATAATTTATTTGTAATAGTTTATCTACAGGCATCGGGGGGGGGGGGGACTGGTGTCCCAGTTGTCTAAGGTGCTGCGAGTCGCTGTGCAGAGTTGCGTCCCTTAGGCACGCCAGAAACCTATGATTGTGGGTTCGAATCCTGGTTCACCTCGATTATGTTTCTAGGTTTGTCAGCACCATACCCATGCTCGTGGGTTTCACCGAAGTGGTAAACGTCTGAGACCTGCATCACTTCGGGCTTTCCTCCCACATTAAGCTCACACGCCGCGATATAACTGTAATACTGTTAAAAGCGGCGTTAAACCAAACTCACTCACTCACTCAATAGGCAATGATATCATTAGGAGATAAAGAGTTATGAATGATGTTTTTCAGTCTTCATCCCTTGTGAGCATGTGGTGCTATGGTGTCATTTCTACAAGGTCTTAATAAGTGTTGTGTTCTGAATGGTTTCTAAAAGTGACGTGTATTTCATTTATTTATAATGTAGATTTGATGTATTTCATAATTCATGACAGCAGCCCTTGTAGAAACATGGCTCTTATTAAATATGTTGTTGAGCTGCAGGTTTGTTGTTTCATTAATAAACAACAATAATTACCGTATTCAACGTAATAAGCGCCCAGGGCGCTCTCAAAATTAGAAATAGGGGCTCTTATTAGAATAATATTTTGGTGGAAAAAACAGAGTTGAAAGATAAATTTCGTGGTTCGTGCTGACAGCCTGAAATGTTCATATACGACAGATATATCTTTCCAGAATTTAATTGCCTATAATTAAGGGTGCTTATAACACACGAGTGCGTATTATACGCGAATAAATAAATCTTGTGTACATTGATCAATCGGAAGGGGTGCTAATTGGGATTGTTCACTCGCCAATATGTTAGTAATTATCGCCGTGGGCGCTTATTAGAGCGGGGTGCTTATTACGTCGAATACGGTATGTTGTCTTTCTCAGTCTTGTTTGGTATGTTGTTAAAAATATACATCACAAATATTAAGTCATTCCCTTTTAAAATGGCGTGGAAAAGACAAAAATTCAAATACTTGTAAAATCTTATTAAAAGTAATTTCAGAAGTATTTGTTCCTTCAACTTTGAATGTGTTATGCATTTGTTTGAATCCATAACGGGACATATTTTATTTATATTCATTAGAAGTATCTTGGGTGTTGTCATGTCCTGTAACATCAAGTGATCTTGCAGGGGAGCTTACGATCGCGGCGAGGGAATATTAACCTGTCCATTGATGAGACGTTCTCCGTCCCGTCTACCAGCCCACAAGGAACTCTCACGTTCAGTGAGGGAAGAAAACTCAGCAAAACGCCTAACAAGCTTGCCAACCTCTTCGCTCCTCTCAATAAGGTAAGGGACACAACTCTTCTTAGCTTCACATCACACATGTTTTCATTGTCCACAGCCATTTTGTGATTTGTTTGTTTGTTCGTTTGTTTATCTGTTGTTTGCTGCCGCACTCAGCAATATTCCAGCTATATGACGGCGGTCTGTAAATAATCGAGTCTGGACCAGACAAGCCAGTGATTGATAATATGAGCATCGGTCCACACAATTGGGATACGATGACATGGATCAACAAAGTCAGCGAGCCTGACCACCCGATCCTGTTAGTCGCCTCTTACGACAAGCATAGTCGCCTTTTATGGCAAGCATGGGTTGCTGAAGATCTATTCTACCCCGGATCTTAACGGGTGGCCAGTGTATGAAGGGAAATGCTGAAGCTAAATTGCCTTCACTATTCAAGCTGAACCCTTGGGGATGCCAGGGTTAGACTCGGTCCCTCATCCTGCCGAAGCCACCAAACGGACCAAGTGGTCAGGCTCAGTTACTTGGTTGAGGGTGTGTCAATGTACCCCAATGGTGTGGAGCATTGCTTGTAATATCAATAACTAGTTTGTATGGTCCAGATTTGATTATTTACAGCCGTCATTGAAAATACGTTAGGTGGGGGAAGAGTATTTTCCGTCATGACACTCATGACTTGTTTGTAATCACAATCGCCGGTTGGTTACGAGTTCAACTCCATGCATGGTTGTGGCCACCTAGCACTGTGGGGAGTTGTGACTGGTGGCAGCAATAGTGTAGAGAGCTGCTGTAACAGGCTGTTGCTGTGAGGAGCTTGTCTGGAAGCATGGCTTGTTGCTCATGCTGTCTACCACTGGCCTGTCCAGCCCAGATGTGTTCTGTTAAGGCCACCAAGCTGGAATGTTGCTGACAATGGAAGCAACATTACAAAAGTCGGTAAAAAACTAGTCCTGCACCATGACTGTGGTATTTATATTTTTTAGGTATTTTATTCTTACTAAAAGCCTAGGCAAGTCTAGATCAAAATAACCAAGTCAAGTTTGCTTGAAAACGTCAGAAGAGGAAAGATTCTTTGGAAGGAATTTATTTTTATTATTTTAAAGACATGTTTTCATTGACTAAGTGTAAGTTTAGTACAAAACATGCACCTCAGTGTATGAGATGGGGGTTTCAAACTTGCCAGGACAAAAAACTTTGAGTAAATTTCACCTTCTATTTTGACCACAACACATGCTTTTTATTTTTTTATCATTAGACAAGAAGGACCTATCCTTGATTTGAGAATACTTTGTGAACAGCATTAAACCCAACTCACTCACTCACTCACCCTGAGAAGGGACAATTCTCACGAGTCACCTGATCTGTTTGTGGTAAGTGATTATATCAGCAGATGTGATCAGACGTGACACCAGAAAATATCACTTCAGATAGTGTTTGTTTTATTAAGAAAACCTTCAAACAACATTAGCTGCAAACCAGAAAAATATGGTGTGGTGACTGCAAGCCTGAAAAATATGGTGTGTTATTCTGACCTATAATAGGATGAAAAGGTAGTCGTTGACAGGTTAGATTCACTGGTTGTGACTTGCGATACCGTCCAGGGGTGACAGCTGGAGTGAGCCTTCCATGGCCATGTGTGGGGTGCCAATGTCAGCGGTTTTGTTATGCAAATGCAGTCACAGTATAAAATAGACTTGTCATCCCCCTCGGTGTAAGATTTCAAGGCGTGTCATAGTGAAGCATACAGCTTACTCGAGCTAGGGGCTAAGACTGATTTATGAGGTGTTGCAAATTGTTTATTAATTCTGACACATTGGTGATACATTTAAGATATTTGCGGCATTTTTTTTGTTTGATTCATACACGGAGGATACACTTTGATTTAAGACCTTATTTTTTAAGGTTATGAAATTAGATTTTTGAATACAGTATTTACGTACAGTGTTCCCTCGCTATTGCGCCCTTCAATATAGTGCGAAGTTGGTTATAGCGTGCAGTAACACATGGCTTCCAAAATTTAAGTAAATTTTCCCATTACCAGCTGATGTCAAAGATTGGTTGGTTGGTTTGTTGTTTAATGCCGCACTTAGCAATATTCCAGCTTTATGCAGCGATCTGTAAATAATCGAGTCTGGACCAGACAATCCAGTGATTGATATCATGAGCATCGATCCACGCAATTGGGATCGATGATATGCATCAAGCACGTCAGCGAGCCTGACCACCCGATCCCGTTAGTAGCCTTTTACGACAAGCATAGTCACCTTTTACGGCAAGCATGGGTTGCTGAAGACCTATTCTACCCCGGATCTTCACGGGTCAAAGAGCTCCCTGAGACATGAAATAATCATTATAAAATTATGTATGATCCTTTCTGACCTCGAAAGACCTCAGTGGAATTAATGTCTGAGCGAGCACGCAACAACGGAAATACAAATCCGGACTTAATCCACAAATTAATCCTATTAGTACACTACAATGTCTCTGGTTATAAACATGTTCGTTGTATATCTGGACTTATGTTTGTAACATATTTGATTAATTTTATTTAACATTTCATTCAATTCAAATTTTGGTGAAATCGTGTGTGAAGGGATTGGTAGATCGCCCAACTCACCAATAATTAAAGCAACCACGGTCATATTTCTGCTATTGACATCTTGAAACGAAATGTATGTGGGACAGAAACAGATACAATAAGTGGGTGAGTGACTGAGTGACCCAACAGTATTTCAGTTCTATCACCGCATGTGTGGACCCGTGAAGATCTGGGGTAAAATTGGTCTTCAGCAATCCATGCTTGCTGTAAAAGGTGACTATGCTTGTCGTAAGAGGCGACTAACGGAATCAGGTGGTCAGACTCGCTGACTTGGTTGATGAATGTCATCGATCCCAATTGGATTGATGCTCATGATGTTAATCATTGGATTGTCTGGTCCAGACTCGATTATTTACAGACCGCCATCATATAGCTGGAATATTGCTGAGTGCGGCGTTAAACAACAAACAAACAAACAAACAAACAAAATCGCAGCTGTTAGAAAAGACATTTTAGCAGGTCTTAGACATTCACCACATTAGTGAAACCAAGAGCATGGCTCGCCAGATTATGTTTCTAGGTTTGTCAGCACCATACCCGTGTTCCTGGGGTTCACTGAAGTAGTAAACGTCTGAGACCTGCATCACTTCGGGCTTTCCTCCTACATTAAGCTGACACACTGTGATATAAATGGAATACTGTTCAAAACCCAACTCACTTACTGTAGGTAAGCCAGGCTTTCCTCCCACATTAAGCTGACATACCCAAATATATCTGGAATACTGTTCAAAGCAGTGTTAAACCCAACTCACTTACTGTAGGTAAGCCAGGCTTTCCTCCCACATTAAGCTGACATACCCAAATATATCTGGAATACTGTTCAAAGCAGTGTTAAACCCAACTCACTTACTGTAGGTAAGCCAGGCTTTCCTCCCACATTAAGCTGACATACCCAAATATATCTGGAATACTGTTCAAAGCAGTGTTAAACCCAACTCACTTACTGTAGGTAAGCCAGGCTTTCCTCCCACATTAAGCTGACATACCCAAATATATCTGGAATACTGTTCAAAGCAGTGTTAAACCCAACTCACTTACTGTAGGTAAGCCAGGCTTTCCTCCCACATTAAGCTGACATACCCAAATATATCTGGAATACTGTTCAAAGCAGTGTTAAACCCAACTCACTAACTGTAGGTAAGCCAGGCTTTCCTCCCACATTAAGCTGACATACCCAAATATATCTGGAATACTGTTCAAAGCAGTGTTAAACCCAACTCACTTACTGTAGGTAAGCCAGGCTTTCCTCCCACATTAAGCTGACATACCCAAATATATCTGGAATACTGTTCAAAGCGGCGTTAAACCCAACTCACTAACTGTAGGTAAGCCAGGCTTTCCTCCCACATTAAGCTGACATACCCAAATATATCTGGAATACTGTTCAAAGCGGCGTTAAACCCAACTCACTAACTGTAGGTAAGCCAGGCTTTCCTCCCACATTAAGCTGACATACCCAAATATATCTGGAATACTGTTCAAAGCGGCGTTAAACCCAACTCACTAACTGTAGGTAAGCCAGGCTTTCCTCCCACATTAAGCTGACATACCCAAATATATCTGGAATACTGTTCAAAGCGGCGTTAAACCCAACTCACTAACTGTAGGTAAGCCAGGCTTTCCTCCCACATTAAGCTGACATACCCAAATATATCTGGAATACTGTTCAAAGCGGCGTTAAACCCAACTCAACCTGGATTAAAAAGTTGAAGCAAATTTGTTACCTTCTTTTGGCCTAAAGAAATACAGCAGATACCTGAAGATGTTCTTCGAAGAGGGAGGAAAATGGTATCTCACTCCAAGATGTAGAGCTGAATGAAATGACAATAGCAGGTTTAATCCTGAGTATTAAAGTGCATGGAGAGTGTTATACAGGGTTTAGTGCCTTCCCCAGTTAATAGTCAAGTTTATGTTCGACCAGTTGCCCTTATCAACATCTTCCAAACCGAAAGAATTAATGTCCACGAGAAACTACATTCCTAATAACTACTTATACGATCTTTTTCATCTTGTGTTGAAACAGGCATAAATAAAACAGAAATATATCACAGTATGTCAAAGACCGAGCTTGATCAAAGGAAATATGCATTAAAAAGTCTTTCCTGGTAAAACATTCACTTCCTGCTAATAATATCCTCTATTATCTTATGGTATTTTTCTTGGGTCATCCCGTACTACAGAATTCCAGGCTTGGATATGATATTCCTATAATGGTATTCCGGTACCCAGATCATACAAAAGCAACATATATGTTTGGATGATATACAAGACTTTTTGCATCAGATATAACTTGCAGATTGTATCAACATTGATTGTGTGTGTTTGGGAGAACCTGTGTGGGAAAAGCTCTCTTTTGATGAGCCGGCACAGAACTATAGTTGGTTGGTGGGTTGGTTTGTTGTTTAACGCCGCACTCAGCAATATTCCAGCTATATGACGGCGG